GTTAAAACAACAGTCTCTGAACCTGAAACACAAACAAAATAAATGTAAATACATCCTTAACTAGAGAAGCACTAATCTTGACCACCAGAAAAAACCCCAAACCAACCCAGCTGGAGGAGACAACTCAGAATGAATTTTACATTAATGATTGTATTTCCATACATACTTAAATTATGAAGGCTCCAAATGCCACCAAGATAATGACCTCTTCATCAACTGCAATAAAAAGCACTACCTAGAAGTGTGAAAGAGAATATCCTCTACTGCTACAGCCTCTGGAATAAACTCAGCATCAAAAAAATACTATAGGAGAAAAACACATGATGCATTTTTCATAAAAAATGACGATCTTTTTGTTCACTTTATGTTAGGTTCACTTGGCTTAACCTGACAAAATTTATATTAATTTCAGTGCCATTATTATTCCAATACCAACAAAGTCTACAGGTAACTTACTTCAATATATATAGATATATGTAACTCTAAGCAATAGAAATAGCGTAAGTGCTGATGTACTTACTCAGTGGCTGTTGCAAATGACAGACTGAAATTAGCACCTTGCATTGCTGCTCAGAGGAACAGCGCATTGACAGAGAAAGATTACTCATTCCTTCTGCTCTCTATATCCAAGAGCTACCAAGTCAAAACAGCATGAGACTCACCAAAAAGCCAAGCCAAGCCTCTATCCTTGGCAACTAAGGCTTCCTTAAATTGTTTTTTCTTTAATAATTTCTTAGAAGCTTTTCAGACATTAAAGCACAAATGTTACAGACAGATGCAACATTAAATTCTCCTATCTGCTTATCTTCTTCTGAGTGTGTAAATAGTCACCTTGAGTCAAATTTTCCCCTCATTTTGTTTTTAATTAGCCTCACTGCCTCCTCTGACTGCTTCAATGTCCCCAGCATCTTCTCAGATAGCTCTTTAAAAGAGCAGCTGCAAACTTTATCAAGGCAGCCATTGCTGGGACACTGCTGATGCAAGGAATGAGCTGCAGAGAGTGAACTGCCAAGGGTCAGGTGGAATTCTTCTCTTCTCCTTAGGAAGTATCTTTGTGCCCTTTTTCTACAGTCACTTTACATCTGTGGCAAACCCAGAGAGGGTAAAATATCAACTTGTTGCTGTGGTTACTGAGTCTTTCTCACTGAAGAAAAGGAAGGAAAAGAATTATTGCATTTTAGTTACTTTTCAGGAGATTATTTGCTGAATAACAACAAAAACCTTCTCAGGAAAATAGACAGGGAGCAGAATAGTGTTTCAGGCACTGATGTTTTCTTCACACCAGAAAGTTATGGTTTCCAGAGTAGGAAACCAAAAGTCTCTTGTTTGTCTGGAAAGCAAAAAGGATGGGGGAAGAAGGAGAAGAGTTGTTTGAGTGGGCATTTGTCTTCCTATGTAATGGTTATGCATGATGGGGACTCTGCTTTTCTGGAGATGGCTGAACACCTGACTGCCCATGGGAAGGAGTGAATGAATTCCTTATTTTGCTTTGCCTGCATGTGAAACTTTTGCTTTACCTATTATACTGCCTTTATCTCCACCCAAGAGTTGACCCATAATCACCCTTTGGTTCTCTCCCCCACTCCTTTGAGGGGGTAATAAGCTGCTGAGTGAGTTGAGCTGCCTACCAGGCTTAAACCACAACACTGTGGTTTAACTGGGCTCCTAAAAACAGAAAAGAAAAAGAACCACACCCACATTTCAACTCAGCCAGATCTATTATTTTTAATAAAGCTTGGCTCTGAAAGACTACAAAACAACCTGGTTTGTGTTGTTTTTTTACTTACTGTTAGAATAATGGAAGGAATTCTAAGAATTAAAACATCTTCTGACTTACTGAATTGGGGAGTGGGGGCGTTGTGCAACCACGTGTATGTGAGAGTGACAATGTTTATAGAAAGCAATTTCTTCAATACAATAGTAGTAACAAAAAATCCTAAAACATCCTGTTCATTTAGAATTGCTTTTATAAAGATTTCTTGTAATAAAATTGCGACCCCACCATGTTACTGCAAAATATAATAGACACCATCAAATGTCAGCATTTAGGAATATTGCTACTTCTTACTCAGTCTACTAGATTAATCTGTCTATAAACATTTTGGTTTCCACTACAGCGCTACCTCCAGCATCCATTCCCCTTACATTGACATGTAATTTGTCATTTTTCTTAACTCTCCATAGCCTGATGTGAGTTTTGTTTAAGATCAAAAGCTTTGTATATTGACCTAGCTGGTCATTAAAGCTTTGAACAGGCTGTGCATCTGAACTCAAGTCAAAGTGCCTCAGCGAACTCGTGTTGAAAAACATGTGATCGCAACCGAATTCAGAGTAATACATCTAGGAATAAGAGCCATACCCACAAAGCAGGAGATTGCATTCTTATTGAAAGTGGCTCAAAGAGACACGTCAGTATGCAGGGGATGAGTGACTCAGCCTGACCTCCTGGAGCAGTACTACTGGAACCAATGCAATCCTTCTCTCTATCAGGTGTTTCTACACCGGCGCAGCAATGTCAAATCTGTCTGACACCGCACGATCGATGCACACCGGAACAGTGCATGCGCTTCACAGACACCAGATCAAAGACACTGCAGAAGAACGCTTGCTATTCTTCCTGAGAGCAAGAAAATAGGGTCTTGCACCACACAGACAAAATGAACAGAAAGAATTTCTTAATTAAGAAGACAATTAGCCACAGAATTTTTGCAAGGAGAAAATGCCTGCACTAGAGAGCTCTCTAATCTGGGAGAAAGGCCTAAGTCAAAAGTGGAAGCCAGAACTGCTTCCAGACTGCTTAGTATACAAATTAAAATTCCATTAGCAATAAGCCACTAGAAAAAACTACCAGATATATGTCAGAAGCTGAGGAAACCAGTCTTCAAATCAAGATCTACAATTTTCTACAAAATGCATATAACCAAATAGCAGTTACTGAACTCAGTTAAAGAAAAAAATACTTGAGAAAATGAAGATAACTTTTGACATAAAAACTTGACCACACAACAGAATGGTTCCTCCTATGGAAAAAAACATGAAAACTGAAGACCTAAATACACCAGCCTGATGAAATCTGCTTCCCATGCATCTTGCATGGCCTTGACCACACCCAGGTGCACACTGTCCTCCTCTCTCCTCCTCTCCATGTCAGTAATATAGTTTTATTGCACTACATACATAATGCACTACAGTACAGTGGTCCTTCCACCTATCTCACACAGCATTTGAAGAATAACTGAGAGGAACAGGACACTTCTAAGAGTAGGGCACTGATGCAAATGTGACAAGCTGTTTTCGTGAAGTTACTCTTTTCCAAAATCTATTAAAAATCCTGCAATCTGTATATATTACAGGGACAGTACACTGTTATCTTGTGTAAACTACAGTGTAAAGTGACCACATTTTCAAGGTTTTCACTGCTCTAGAAATGCAACTTCCAAGACTAGATTGCCAGAGTAATTCTCTATTATTTAGAATATAACAGATACCTTTATTTTTACCTTTCCCTCTGCACAGACACGACCTTTTTTCTTCTCTTCTCCAAGCACAAGCACCATGTGTTAAGCACAGAACAAGCTCTGACAGATACCTCTGTTCACATTCAAAACATTTTGTGTGTTAGATTAGTAAGTAATTCTTCCTAGATCAAATTATGTTTCTCCTCTGAGAAACAGTACTCTCTCATTTGGCAGCAAGTAGCTGCTGCAAATATCTCAAGCCATCTCAGATGCAAAGTTTTACTAGAAACACTACAGCAGGAAAAAAATGGCAAGGGTAACAGACAGCAAGGAAGAAAAGAGATTCCCCACTCTGCACTCAAACTACTGCAATTTTTAATGAGGCAAAACTAACCTATAATCAAAACCTTTGGCTAAGTCTGACATTAAAAACTCATGAGGTATTTCATGAGTTCTGCATTTAGCCTTACGTATTAACTAATAAACATTGAGACAGTCACAGTGAGGTCTGGAGTCCTCTAGTGAGGACACGCAATCACAGAATAACAATCCTGGCATTGTCCAGCTGACTACAAGAAAGCCCAAATCAAACACTCTATAGTCAATGAACAGCTACATTCACTGTCATACAAAAATGTCCCATGTAGAGTTTTCAAAAGATCTCACTTCATGTCAAAGTCCTGTGGTGCAATTAAGAAAACTAATAACTGATATTTAACTGATCTACAAACCAGGTGTGTCCCCTCAGCTGTTACCATAAGTAAAGCATTTACTTTCTAACACAAAAGACCTTTGCATGCTGCTGTTGGAAAAAACGCAGATTTTGTTCTTCTGTTGACCTATGGACTTCAAAATGTTTAACTTTCTACACGTGGGACATGCACCAGTCTGTAGACCATAATAAACCACTTGTGTTTAACATAATATGCCCTCAGATATCTAACCTGGAACTAAATATTTGCTGCTTAATGAACTGGTGCACCAGGCAAAAAGTTATGAATAGAGGAACAAAAATATTCTTGCAGCAAACCAAAAGTCAGCCTCTTCTCCAACTGATAATGCATGAAATTGCTTCGTCTTTTTTAATCCAAGAAACTAGTCTTACTCAAATTCTGAGAAAGAAATATATCCATTCACTCTGGCTGCTGATATATAGATCCCCTAATTGTATCAGACAGCAAAAAAGAAAGCTCTGGTTCCTTAATAAGGTTAGCATACTAGAAGAAGTAGCTTGAAAATAAAAAAGTTTGCTAAGAGTGCACTTACACTTACAGAGACTGAAGTAGTCACAGATTTATATCATTGCAGACTGGAAAGAATAAAAATGCTCCGTTTCTGAAAGTGTTAAGACTACTAAATTTTCCAGCAGTGACAGTATCTGAGCAGTCACACACATCATTAATATTCAACAAAAGTGTTCCCTAATGAAAACACAATTATTTTAATTAGTACTTTCATGAAGGTTCACAAATAAAGTACAGCAAGCAATTACGTCAATAAAAGTTTCCATGCCCACAGTGCCCAAAAAACCACAAGCCATACCTGATTACTGCTTTTGGCAGCAGAGTTGGTCTGAGCTGTATTTGAAGAAAGGGAATCAAAAAATGCCTGATCAGCTAATGAGTTACCGCAGCTAATGCCATCTTTTGCACCTTCGGTTATAATCTGAAATGGAAAAGGTTGAGAAAGATTTTTCATGCTCCAATTAACCAAATTATGCTTTATCATATATAATCACCCTAACACTCATATCACTAGACTTTAAGATGTTTGCATATAACCTTTTTAAATTCAAATTAAATTGAATTTTTTACAAGAAACTCACACGATACTCTGGAGGATTTACTTCCACACCAGATGGAGCTAGGTTTCCTTACAACTACAACACACAAGACTTGGGGCAGTGAACACCTATCTATAAATTACTTAGAGATCAAAGGTTGTTAATGTAAGTGCCTGGAGACTGGGAACTCAGTGCTCAGGGGATGGATTTTGGACAATAAGCTTAGAAAGCCAAAAGCTACCAGACCATGAGCTAACCAACTGAAGCAAAAACACAAGGTCATGTGAGCCAGCATGGTCCTGCTTTCCCTTCCCCTCCTCCCCCTTTTGGTTTTTTTTTTAATAAACACAGCACTGCTGAAGGAAGAGAGACACATGCCTTCAGAGGCTGCAGGAATTACAGCCAAGGTCTTCACCCACCTAACCAGCAACCTGCACACATGCAGACACTGGGCCATTCAAGAGTGAATGAGATTGCAGTCTTTGAACTGTGATCCCACTCCACCCCCAAAACAATACCACTGGTTTTTAAACAACAATCAGAACAAAACACACTGAAGGGACAACAGAGGGTCTCAGTAAGAAAAAAAGCTGAATAGTCCCTGGATTTGGTACCCCACATCCTAAGCCCCAGAAATGTGGCTCCATTCCACATTTATGAGCATGAGGCAAGTCTGCCACAGAAACAGCAGTGTGAACTTGCATTAGTAATTTCACTTCCATATTTCTATCTTCAGACAGAAAAAACCCCCAATTATTGGATTATGAGACCCCCAAAACCAAAGCAGATTCAAAACAACTCATGTTCTGCAGATCAGCTGTATTTACTATAGAGAGCTTCCTGTTGCATTTCTTGGTAAACCACTAAGAAGCTCAGGAGCTTCGGATGGCATGTTTGCACTGGGGTCCAAAGCCAGCTACAATTGCTACAATGAGATTATATATTCCAAGCTTTCTGTTTGAGCATTTCAGTTTGGTCAGCAAACCAGAGGATGGCCTTTTCAGCAGTTCTGCTTTTAGTGCTGAGCAGTGTAGTCACTTACCTCAACATAATCTGTTGGAACAAGTCCTCTCTCGCCTTGGCTGTTTTTTCCTTCTAACCAGCCTCCACCAACATCCTAAAAGAAGTAATATAGAAATAATTTTGCTAGATGGATCTCACAACATGCTTCAAATAGCTCAGCAGGAAGCATTGTCTTGCTGTCAAATGTCAAATGCTCAGCAGGAAGCACTGTCTTGCTGTCAATGTTCAAAACACAGCTATGACTGTGAAACTGAACAAACTCTCTCAAAGCTGCTGAAGCAGCAGATACTCATTTAAACACAACACAGATCATGCTGATTTTACACAGCTATTCTGGACTTCAGATTTTAACAAGCATGAACGGGAAAATTAATTGATTTTTCAACACTTTTGGTCAGTTATGAAACCACAATCAACTGTCTGGCCACAGACTGCATATAAAGACAACTATTAGTATGTCCATTTCAATGGATTAATTTTAATCAACAGACTATAAAGAAACAAGACTCAAAGAATAAAACTGTTGGTGATATCTGTAAAATCTCTGCCTCCTTTATTGAAGATGCAGACACATGTGATGAGTGAGAGCTATCACTCACAGAAATGTTAAGGCTATTCTCAAGATTAAAAGAGCCACATGCCAAGTAAGATCTGGACTCATTCTTTCCACTTCACATTTCTTTTCAGAAGCAGTCTTATGCTATTAGTTTAGAAAGAACTACCAACAGTTCCGCTCTCATCTCAGTGGGACATCCCGATATTGTTTGGGGTTTTTTAAACACATATTCTACGTACACTACAAAAGCTCTGTAGACATTTGTAGTTAAGCTAAGTTAATTCCAGGAAACATTATCAAGAATAAGCCAGCTCTGTTTTAAATTAACTTGTTTAGGGAACACATAGATACATGTCAAGCTAGCTCACAGATGAAAATTGGAGACACATATGCTAGACAGCGATTTTAGGTTTTCTTAATTTGCTTTTTAATTGAATTATTTTTTTATTTACAATTTTGTTCTTTCACTTTGAAAATTTCATATAGTCCTGCACTTTACAGGCACTCCAATAAGGAGAAGCCTGCTTATGTATTCAAGATTCTATGCAGTAAAGATCAAGCAGTTAGTGAAATAACAGCGTGCATTTATTTTCTCTTACATACCTAGAAGCTTAATACTCAAGAACACAAAAATAATGAGACATCTCTGATTATAAATTCTACTAGTTTGGTTGAACTGCAAGAGTAATGACATCTTGAGCCAGAAGTCATATTTGCACTGCTACACTTGAAAGCAATCATCAGTGGACTTGCATGACTTCAGCTATTGCCATCAAAACTTATCATAAAAAAAAGATCAAGAGCCTTTGTGGCAATTTACCATGGACATCATAAAACAAAGTTTTACTTGGTTTTGAGTATACTGCTTTAAGCCACAGATGTCTTGGTCGGTGTGAACTAGCTTCAAAGTGGTTATCTATTTATTTGTATTTAGTCTTACTTTTGTGAAATGGCATTAAGCTCCTGAATTCATTCAAAATGTTACCCCTGCCATAGCACAGCACACTTCCAAGAGGGTGCTGGCTCTGTTAACTATCTGTTTCAAGTATTTAAGATCAGTGGAACTAAAAATTATCAGGATTACACATGACTAGGATCTTCAAAGAATTAAGTTTATTCTGCAGAATGCATGTGTTTTATACAAATGGATAAATAAGACCTTGACTTCATGATCAGTTAGTTTTTGTTTGTATTTGTTTCAACAGGCAAGCCTGTTCACAAAGCCATATCATTACACAAAATTCAAAGCAGAATCAACTGATACTTTGTTACCAAGGGTAAGAATTATATAGGACACTGAAATTCAAAATGTAGACATAAATCAAATGTCAGTGCTGAAAAGCCCTATTCATTTAACAACACCCTGATGGCATCGTGATAGTATTGTCACCACTACTTCCCTATACCTTGTTCATATTTCTTTAATTATGAAAGGACACAAAATTTCAGTAAAAAATAAATAAATTTTTGTTGTGAGTTCTTTACCAAACATGGAATGCTGAAGTCATTGATTAAGAAACTCAAAACCTAGAATTGAGCTGGATGTCCCATTTAAATGCAAGTGGCAAGCACATGAAAGATTACATACACACAAAATGTGCAATATTAGGCACACAAAAATAGACAAGGCATTCAGATGTACAGGCTATCACCACCATTAGTTCCTTCCTCTTACTTGTCTCTCAGCTCTGTTTAGAAGAAAACAAAGCTGAGTACATTCTTTTGTGTGTGGGTACAGTTTGAGAAGGTCCCATCCTCCAAAACATTGTATTTGTTTCCACAAGATTATCAGAAAATTCTTTGTGTTCTGTTTTTTTGCTAATTCTTCAGGGAAGGATAGCCAGGCCTTTCAGATGTCACCAGCACCATTTTCCTTCCATGTGCTGATAGAAGTAGGTCAGGAAAGTGCACTGAAGCAGATTCCATGTCAGTTTTCTTACCGGGTTGGTGATTGTGATGATCTCCCCTTCACTGACCGTCAGCTCATTGTTTCCAGGCTCAGCAGCAAAATCATACATAACACGAGCCTGTAGGTGGAAAAGAATGTAACAGTGAGGCTTCCAGCTTCTGTAGAAGGTTTCATTAAGAAACCATCAGCACAAATTATCCTTAACTTACAGAAAGAGTAAGTGGGGTAAGGAATGTACAAAGAGCAAATCAGCACATAGGAAGCTAACATTTCCTAGATTTGAACTGCAAACTCAACAGTAACAACAACTTTAAAAGATACAAATCTCATGTGGAGCTTGTTGGAGATAATCTGCCATAAGGATTTAAGACTGGTTGTTCTCTGTCATGTCCAGAACTGTACGTACAATGTTTTCCAGGGGAAGAAGGAAGGGTTCCTAACTTTAGCAAACAATATTTTTTTGTTTGTTTTATACAAGACATATTCCAACTCCAATTTGAGTAAAGGGAAGTAGCTCACAGAGCAAGCAATTCAGAAAAAGAAAAGCAAGTAACTGCAGATGTAAGTAACCACTGCTGTGCGTAAAATGTAATACGTAAAATTATGTTTTGAGACTCTATATGGGAAGAATTATGCAAATACAGAAACAAGCAGTGAGACTAGGCTTGTTATATCTGGCATGAGGAGGGAGGGAAAAACAAAACAAATCTAATTTTTAAGTGTTTAGATACACAAAGGCTTTGCTGTGCACTGACTCTGCTATTACACTACATAAAGAAATGTTTGAAACATTTGGTTTTACTAATAACATCATTCAGTGTACAGCAGTGAGTTCCTTCTTGCACTTGAAGGGCGAGGGAAAGAAAATAACAAAAAGTAATATTTTCTGTCAAAGGAGACAATAAAATAATTTCTGTTGAAAATAAACTATATGATAGGAAAAAAAAATACCAAAAGACAGACATTCACTATCAAGTCCTGCCTGTCTCAAAACTGCAGGTTGTTATAATCCACACCCAGACAGAACTTCTTACAGAAAACCCAACGAAAACAGAACTTCCCACCTTCACATTTTAATTTCATGAGTAACATGTGGAAATACTTCTGGCTGGTCAAAAGATACTTTACTTCAGTGTAAATAAAAACAGAGCTGAGAAAAAAAAAACACGTTTCAGCTGTTCAGCTGACAAATCTAATCCCAAACCATGTGCACAACAAATCAAACACTTGGTCTTCTCCACTAGAGCAGTACAACATTGCAGAAAACCATGTGTCCTAAGCACTCTGAATGCTCCCTTGAATGAAAACTTTTCCCTTAGAATGGAGGCTTTCAGCACTTTCAGATTATGCCATGCAAAACAGAGATGAAGAGGCAAAAACTGTGTTCAATAATAACACTGGCTGCTTTCTTTCCAGCAGCACATCTGGCCTCCATGGAAATATAAGAACAAGCTGCTTTACTTTCCTGAAAAATGAACTGAAGAGAAGCAGCACACCTTTAGAAATACAAGAACATTTTAGGCAGGGGTGTAAAAAGCACCACTCTTCAGAGCTGCTCCCTCAGCAGTAGCAGATGGAGGTGTTGAACATGTCCTTTTTCCAGCAGGTTGCTAAAATTTATACAGTTTTTGCAAGTCAATTTAACAGCACTCAGATGCTGGGCATCTGAATCATGGGAAAAGCAGCTTTCTTAACCAAGAAGTCTTCTTAGCCTTTTTCAAGTAATACACCATAGTATTAAGTTCTTGCTTCTATTCACAGGAATGATGAGAGTTTACCAGAAAAAAAGGTAACAGACCAATTTTATCAGCCTTCAGAAAAACTGGCAAAATATCCCCAGTGATGACCAGACTGGAAAGGTAAAATGTATTTCAGTCTAATAAAAGAACAGATGCAAATACTAGATTCTCCAGATACGGCAGTGAAATTAAAGTTACTCAGAAAAGAAAATGGAACTATTTAGCTTGTAGAGAAAGAAAAAACAAGAGAGATATAGAATTTAATAAAGTCATAATGCCGAAGTCTGCTTATTGATCTACTCTGGATGCCTGTTTCAAAAGTTAGAAAGAGTAGAAAACATGGAAAAAATTACAAACAAACCTTGCTAACTACAGTTTAAGAAATTTAAAAACAAATTTAAAAACAAGCAAAAACAATTGCAATGCTACAGAAATGGATTATTACAGAACATTAAGAATTTGAGGTACATCAGAAACCTGGTCTGTATATTAACATTTCAAACACATTCCTCATATTTTTCTGCCAGTACTATCCATTTCACCTGCATTTCTAGGCTCACTTGCCTAGGCTGGAAATGAAGACCTTAAGAACTTCTGGCAAGTAAGCTTTCATACTATGCTCCTACTGTTGAGTTTATAAACTCAACCAATTCCAAAGTAAAACTAAGTGACTAAATGTTTCTGCCCCAACTATTAAGTGTATAGTTAACAATGGAAAACCCTCTAGGCTTTCCCTGGGCAGATACATCAGCCCCAAACCTATTTAAATTTCTGACAATCAGTTCCAGAATTTTCCAAGAAGCTTTTTCCTTCTTACTGGCCATAAATATTGTGTCCAAGTAGCAGATAGAACTTAAGAGTTCTATCTACCTTTGCAACTCATGCAAAATTGCAAATGGGCACGGAAAAAAGTATTTAACAGGAAAAGGATTTTAGCTCTTTGGCACTGCAATACACACACTGAATATTAGAGCTAAGCTTAGGGACACTTTGAATATTCATAAAATGGGAATCTCTGATGAATTCCCGATCATTAATCTGGATCAGTCCAGATTAATGAACACCACAAAGAGAACTTCTTCAAAACACAGCTTAGAAAAAAAAATCTTAAAGTAACTGTTGTGTTTCATATTTACTTCTGATGATATACAAAAGGATCAAACAGTCCAAGAACTACAGGAACTTCAAAAATTGAAATATTTTGTTAGTGGAATAAAGGCCCCTGCTTCATTTACAGAATACTGCAAACATGCAAAACAAGAAAGAACCATTAACAAAGCTATTAGCTGCAAGAAAATTAATTTCATCTACTGGTTGCATGTATATCTCCCCTCTCCCACCACCACCTCTGATCCAAGATACAAATGGTTCTGGATTCTGAAGTTTTGTCAGTTCCTTTGAGAAAAAAAACCCTGCCAATCCAAAAAGCTTTAACTGATTTCGTTGACCAGAGACCAGGCCTGGGTCTTGTACTGTAAGCTACTGCCTCTCTTTGCGCAGGTGGCAACTGAGCATCTCCACTGGGAGTTTGGAACACATCCTGACATTCCCCTCATGCTCCCTCGTGTGAGGAAAGCCTGGCACAGATTAAGCAGAACCCTGTCACAGCACATGGCAAGAAGGAAAAGGTTCTCTGATCCCCAGCATCTCTGCACCTCTGGCATATACTGCAGTTTCTCTAGAATGAGAGGAAGCCAGCAGTTTTGTCTACAAGTCCAAGATGGGGGAAACCAGTAAGAGTTAAAGGAAAATTGGCTTTACTGCAGTATGGATATAGAAATTTAGATTGTAATAAAGGAAATAAAAAGGAAACTGGTAATTCTTAGTGTTGTATCAGCATTCTTTGGAGCTTGTTCTACTGGCTGTAGTTACAGAACTGGACTGTAGTTTCCCAATTTACAGATTTACTGACTTACTACAGTGTGAAGCCTCCCAACATTGAGCACTGTAATCAATAATTATTATTGTCTTTTTATAATTATGATACAATCATGCTTAGGAATATTAAAACACCAAAAGATTCCCCACATTGAAAAGCAGTATCTAGATTAGTGAAATATTTTTCCTCTGAAGGCCTGGAGCAGATTTCACTTTCCTCCACTACTTTTGTCCAAGTTCAGTGCTTCCCTCTTCTTTCCGTAATATTAAAAACCAAAAAGAAAAAAAAACCCAACAAAAAACCAAGAGCATTTGCCAACTTATTTCTGAAAGCAAACGTAACACTACACAACTCTACCTGTCAGTGTTAAAGCTCTTCAGCATAAATGAAGTGGGAAGGAAGATGTCTAGCAAAAGTCATTAAACTAAATTTCCAATGAAAGGTTACACTGTTGCTTCACTAAGTTATTAGATGAATATCCAAAATCCGTGCAAACATCCTGATCCACTGGCTCCTGCTGGATGCCCCCCAGAACCTTGAAAGAGGTGATAAAGCAACAGAAACACCTATTTCTCATGAGAAGAATCTTTCTGCCTTTTCCAAGATATTTCACTTAAGGCTAGGCTCAGATGGAAAAGCACCTTAGCCCAAAACTGAACAATCCTGATGTGCACAGGGCCACACTTGCCTGCACTACAGTTCAGCTGCAGCAGGGTAGCTCAGTCATGGAGAAGGACAGTGCAAGCCCCCGTGTATTCCCCACCAGCCATAAGGAGACAGGCTAACAGCTAATGAACACCAGTTGTGCTCAGAGCAGCTTTTACAACATCTTCCCTGCCTCAGCCTTCCTTGAGGTGAATGATCAATGACCCACGTAGAATGACTACTGTTTTTTCTTTAAGTTCACACTTCTGAAGCAAAATGTTTTTATAATGCTGGACTTCCTGACTGCAATGCAACAGTTCTGCATCAAAGTATGCTTTATAGCACAAAAATTGGAGAAGCCCCTAAAAAATTGGACACACCTTTGAAAATGCTTTCCCTGCACACAGGGCTTCATTTGTATTAGGAAGAGATCTAGTGTTACACCATAGATTCATCTGTTTCAAACATGTGTTACAGTCTAGGAAACTTGTACCACAACTGCTTTTCTTGGTCAGCTGGCAGTGGCAGATAGTACAAAGGAAATACCCATAGAAGTCTCATAGCATGAAATTCCCTAACTGCACACATTTCTCTTCACACTTGGCACTTCAGCAGCTCAGAGCTTCAGCCACCCTGCACTGCTCCTGTCAAAAGACAGGGATTCACAGGTTTAAATTGCCTGGTGCCATGGTCAGAAATACAACTGCTATATCACAGCACCAAGATGACAACATCTCATGCTGCTGGAAGCAGTTCCCATATTGACAGAAAGAGAATCAATTCTGGATTTCTCTTTTGGGAAGTATACGAGGCAGACAAGTGCAGGCTTGTCTGAAACCTGCATCCACTGGAAGA